CTGGGAACCATGCACAGACTGTTTGTTAACAGCTGTAGTTTGCATCATAAGACAGAAGCATGAATGGTGATCTAAGCTGGAAAGCAAATCTCACCTTTCTAAAAATATATTCCTAAGGAAAAATGATCTATTGATTAAAAACATGTAAATGTTTGATCTGCTTCAGAACTATATACAGTTATCAGTAAGAACAATATTCAGGTTTCTGCTGGCATTTACACAACTTGATGAATGCGTTGACAAGCAGATCGGCTGTTTTAAATGACTGCCATCTATTTCACTTGTGTATACATCTACTAATTAGAAAACAGATATATAAAAATGGACATAAGCCCTTAGATAATACTTCAAGTTGCAATATACTATTTTAGAAATGCTCATAATACACCACTAGACCATGGCTGTCCAACTTCTGAGTGGCTGGGGACCACATTCCCTTCCTCCTCTCCCCCCCCCCCAAACACCTCCCAGCCACATGGGCTAGAGACAGACTTTACACAAACTGGCTTGCATGATCAGAAACTGGTTTAAACCTGTAATAGAATAGTTGTTCAGTGCACATAAACCAGTTTGAAAATGGCTGAAACTAGTTTGAGATAAACCTGGTTGAATGTAGTATCAGACTTAACTGATTTGGGTCAAACCAATTTATGCAATGTGTCCAAGACCCCTTGCTAGTTTAAGACTCCCCCAGCATCCTGGCATGCTCTTGGGGTTCTCTGCTCCACAGCAGGGCTGGCCCCTCCCTTCTGCTCCCTGGCTGCAGCTCTAGCAGAGATTGTAGGCTGCTCCCCCATCTCCCTCCCCATGGCCTTGCTGAGACATTTCTGTATATTAGCTAGCAGATCATATGCAGCAGTTGAGGACTGCCCACAGATGCTGTGGGTGTTGCTGGGTGGCAAGGGTTGTTGGTGGGGAGTGGTGGCCCCCGCAGGCACTGCTGGCAGTGTTGGTGGTGCCTTTTTGCAGCAGGTGCACTGTCAAGCTCAGCGGCTGCATGTGCACCCACACGTACCCCGTACACATTGCCAATGACCTACACAGATTGAATCAATTCAGGCTCAGGCTTTCTGAATGTCTGTCCCTAGCCATGCTGCATAGGCCACACACCCCTGAGGATACATGATGGGTGGACTGCAAGCTGTGTAGCATGAGCCTCCCTCCACCATGCAGCATAAATCCCCCTTAAGGTAAAGCAGGAAACTCCCATTGCACCACACTGGTATCTCATAGTGGCATGGGGTCCCTGGCTCCCCCTCATCCATGCAGACTGCTTTGCTACCTTCAAAGATGGGGGCACACAGCAAAAGCTGGAGCTAGAGAGCTCAGAGACTCTGGAAGCAGCAACAGGAGAAAAATGGGTGGAGTGGCACATAGACTGGGAGCCTAGCGGCTACATGTTAATCCCTCAAAAGCCACCAGTTAGACAGTCCTGTACTACCCCACGAACAGATTGGTGCAGTATATGTACTAGTACAGGGGTGGCCAACCAGAAACACAGATGCCACAAGAGCTGATGTTAGTGTCCTGTTGAATTAAACTGCTCCACCTTTTCTTAAGAACAGCTACTGCCATTGTGTTGCCCTTCTTTAGCAATCATAGTATCACAGGAAAGTAGGGCTGGAAGGGACCTCACAAAAAAATCTAGGCTTAACCTCTTGCTCAAGGCAGAATCATTTCTTACTAAATCATCCCATTCAAGTGTCTGTCTAACCAGCTCTTGAAACTTCAAAGGATGGAAATTCTACAGTTCCTCTAGGTAGCCTGTTCAAATGCTTGACCAGTCTCAAAGTTAGAACATTCCTCTTAATCTCCAACCTAAATTTCTCCAGCTGTAGCTTGAGGCCATTGCTCCTAGTTGTGTCCCCTACAGTCACAAAGAATATCCATATCTATGCTCTCCATAATCACCCTTTGGGTACTGGAAGACTTATCAAATCCATGCCTGCCTTCCCTTCCTCCCTGCCTTGCATTCTTCTCTTCTCCACACTACATAACCCTAGTTCTTTTATTTAGCTTTTTCTCCTAAATCTCATCTCCCAGGTCACTAATCATTTTTGCTGTTCTGAGCTGGACTCTCCAAACTGTCCACATCCTTCTTGAAGCGTAGAGCCCAAAACAGGACACAGGCAGGTGAAGGTGAGACCTTTCCAGTGCTGAACAGAGCAGAATAATCACTTGCCTTGATCTGCAGTTGACATTCCTGTTAACAGAACCCAGGATGCTGTTGGGTTTTTTTTGCAACAAGAGCACATTCTTGGGCCACAGTCAGCTTCTAGTCTGCTGTAATCACCAGGTTCTTCTCTGCAGTAGTCCAGCAAAGCTAGTCATTTACCACTCTATACTTGTGCATGCAATTGTTCTCTCCTCAGTGCAGGATTCTGCATTGAATCTAATCTGATTGATTGTGGACTGCTTCTCCAGTCTATCCAGGTAATTCTGGATGCTAGCCCTATTTTCTGGAGTACCTGCAACTGCACCCACCTCAGTGTCATCCCCAGATTTGCTAAGTATGCACTTCATCCCATTATCCAAATAATTAATGAAGACATTAAACAAGACTAGACCCAGGACAGACCCCTGGGGAGCTCTACTTGATACCTCCTTCTAGACATTAAACAATTGATGACTATTCATTGAATATGATGATCCAGCCAGTCTAATCAACCAGTCAATCAATCTAATCAAAGCTGTTAATACAGTTGAATAGTTCTTAAGGAGGATTATATGATTTAACAAACCTCTCATTTGTAATGAGTATAGATTATAAAGCCCTGTACAAGAAGGCAGACCTATTTTTTTGGGTTGACTCAGGACAACACTATATTAAGATTCAGGGTCACATCAATGTACCTTAGTACAGCAGGTACCAAGCAGATGAAAAAAAAGGAATGGCTCTAAGATGTCCCGTAGGAAATGGCAAAAGATGTCCTGTAGGAAAACCCTAGAATTAGCCAAGCTCTATAAAACTTAGTCTAAGGCCCCTGACAGATGCTACTCTTAACACATGATTACCTGGTTAATCAAGTCTTAAACACTGACCTGGCCACATGCTCATTCAATTAATGGTGTGATAAAACAGGGAACAAGCCATAAAAGTTTTCACACAAAATATGTCTAATAACTTTGTGGCTGGTTCCCATCGCAGCTTAAATTGAACATGTGGCCAGTATTCCCAGCCTTAAGAGCACACCAGAGCCTGTCAAGATTCTGGTGAACGTCCTGAGGCTGGAAGTGCTGGTCAGCTGATTGGGGCTCCTACCCAGGGGAGCATACGGAAGCCAAACTTACCATTTTCCAGTGATACGGAGCCCCCTGTGCCAGCAATATGGTGGGACTAGGATCTGATCCACGAACCCATAGTAGATATGGCCAAAGTATGGCACATAGATTTCACAGACATTAGGGCTGGAAGTGACCTCGGAAGATCGAGTCCAGCCCCCCGCCCAAAGGGCAGGAAGTCAGCTGGGGTCATAGGATCCCAGCAAGATAAGCATCCAATTTGCTCTTGAAGGTATGAAGTATGAGGTAGGATTGGGATTGCACATTTGATACCATTATGCCATTAATTTAATGTGTGTCAATGGCCTCAGGTTTACATTGCTTTATGGTTGTTGACATAAAGCCACAACCCCAGGAAGTTTGGATACTGATGTAAGGTGTGCCTACATTGTCTGCAGATGGGGTAGACATATTTATCATCTACAAAATAAAACTGAAAAACTTTTAAACAGTGTGTGTCCAACATATGGCCCTTGGACATTTTGCTTGGCCTGCAGGGCTCTCAGACAGGCCATAAATTCAGGAGGGTGACTTGCTAATGAATTCCCAGCTATGGAGTCCTGATAGACACATGTGGCAGCAGCAGGAGAGTAGCAAGGGCTATGTTAATCCTGTGCCACCACTTGCCTCTCTACTGCTGCTGCTGCTTGTCCTACTAATGAGTCCAGATCTGACTCATGAGGCTTCTTGCAGTGTGGATCTGGCAATCAGCTCTGAGGTCCAGATACAGCAGGGATTGGCAATTATTTGGGCCTGTGGTCCACACAGGCAGTTTTAGGGAGCTGTTGCAGGCTGGTCAGCACCCCCACCCCTCCCCTGCAACAGCCTGGAGCCTACATGTCCTGTGGCTCTTTGCCACCACCGGTGCCCAGCAGCAGCTGAGCACACAACCTCAGCCCTGACTCTGGCCCTGGCCCATCCCATGCCTGCTATGGACTTGCCCTAGCCAGAGTGGACTAGCTCCAGACCAGCCAGGTCTCACACACATTGCCCTGACCCTGGCCCACCCTGTGCTGGCTCTGCACTGGCCTACCTACAGTGAGCAGTGGTGGTGGTAGCCAGGCAGAGGCTACATGCCTGGGTCCCCACCAATCTCCATGAAGCTGAGGCCAGCAGCAGCAGCAGCTGGAAGGAACCATTGCTATCTGGGCTGCTTAGAAAGGGAGTCCAGCTGTGCAGCTGCCCCAGCCCTGCTGTGCACCTCGGGGCAGTGGGATGCATCATGGTGCTGGACAGTGCCTGGGCCAGGTGGAATCGAAGGACCCGCTGCAGGCTAGACAAAGTCCCTCCATGGGACAGATCTGCCCCACGGGCCTTTTTTCACCCACCCCGAAATACAGCCTGGGGGTGTAGGTAAATACATACCTATGTTAAGTACTCAGAGCTCGCACTTTGCCTTTTATTGGCAATCTCTACTATCACATTTTGCCTTTTATTGGCAATCTCTACTATCACATTTCTAAAGGTACGATGCTTCCATGCCTGGCGCTGAAAGATAATTTGCTTATCAGGCCTGAAATCTATAACTGATCCTGTATCAAATACTGCTGAACCTGGGCCTCTATCCAGTAAAGTCCTGGGGGACAATTCAACTTTTACAGAGAATGAAGGAACATTTTTTCTGGCACGCAAATTTTAAAAGAAATGAAGGCTTTGTGAGCACCTCTCTATAGACAGCAAAATAGGAAATCAATTCAGATTAAAAATATAGCACTTACCTGGCCCATTGAGAAAGTCTTTAATTTGCACTGTGATGAAAGGAGGTGGAATACCACTTTTAGCATCTATCTCTCCGGCTACTGTCTGCAACCAAACCTTGCAATAATCAAGAGCTTCTGGAAGAGTTTTTCCAGGATCTGTAGGGGATATAAGGTAATAATCACGCTCATTAATGATATTCCAGTAATGTGATACACAACAAAATGACTTACGAAGGTAAGAGGAAACAAAATAAAATCAAGGAAAGCATGCACTATCTTTGCATTGTTTATAGACTGTTTACAAATCATATTAGTGGTTCCATACATACAGAGTATGGCTGCATGTATATTAATGCGAAATATATAAAAATATATAATATCAATTACATGAAATATATCTGAAATATAAAATGAGAGTACATTGCAGTAGCTATACTTAATTTGTAATGTGCACGAAAAAGCCAAGAAATATATCAGCAAATACAAAAGCCCAGTGATACCACTGTTCCAAATGTCCATTAAGTTTAGCTTAGCTGCTGCGAAAATATCTAATCATTTCAGTTACTTTGTCAACTAGACTCCTGATCTGGTAAAATAGAATCTTTACTACGTATTTCTGGGTTTTCTTTGCATAACAGCAAAAACAGATTAACAGCAAAAGGGACAAACTATACAGCAGTGCAAAGGACCAGAATACCATATGCTGCAGGATGCAGTGTAGCGATAACAGTGCAGTTATTTGATACAGTTTGGAGTTTCACCAATACTGCAATCACTTTTTAATGTCGAGCTTTTCAAATTTACTTCAACTGCTCTTCCTGTATGCCCTCTCTAGTGGTATTCCTTTGATCAATCCTTAATATTCACAACTACAAATAAACCTTCTCATTCAGTTCTGCTCAGTGTTGTGCATTTCTCCATTTTTTGGCCATTGCAGATGGCAAAAACCTCCCTGTGCATAAGGCTTATTTCCCCCTTTATCTTTGGTAACCCACACCCAAAGTTACTGTGGCATTCATATTTTTATTTTAAAAAAATCCTTCGAAATATTCAGTTTCTCTTTAAATCCAAGATTCTCTCTTTCTAGTTTTATGATCATAGAGTGCCCTCCTTGCCCTTTCTATTTTACAATTTTCTTACCATACATTTCCTCACTCCCAGTTAATTTAAAAAATGTTAGTGTAGTTTTTACTTATTTGAGGTTTTACTGATTGGATGCCTTTCAAGAACAGTATTTACATACCCACCATTATAGTCAACATATGGTAATATGGTATCACATATGAGCAGGGTATATTAAGTCTGCCTTGGAATTTGTCTTTCTTGACCTTATCATGTGATTCATATAAAACTTGGCACATATGAAGCCTTATGTGATTTCAGAGAACATACTGAAACCAATTGATCATGACTTTAGATCTATGTGGCAAAGATCAAAAGTTAGCACATTCTTCTATTTTTATTTGATCAATTTTCAGGCAATGATTTTATAGCAGTGTTTGTACTGTGCGACACATTACAGCTAGAGTACTTTTTTCCTTTACTTTCTCCCCCCAGTATCCATTTTTAAAGTCACTTTTGAACAGTTATTTTAGGGGCATTTCATTCTTGATCAGTGCATGCAACAACATGAATGTATTTTTTCCACATGAATTTTCTGCACTTTATTACTGTTTCCCTCTAATTATACTGAACAGAATAGAAGGATGTATTCCTTTTTACACTATAAGTTCTTTAAAGCAGAGTATATAACTTTCTCTGATTTCTAGACGGTGTCTACCATTTTACAAATAATAAATAGCAAAAGAATGTTCTCTTTGTAAGTTTGTCATCGTTTATTATTATATTACAGTATAATAAAACTCCCAATCCTCATTCAAAATGCAGAACTTCAGCAGAATTCAAAACAAGACCGGTCATATTTTCAAAATATTCTTGGTGTACATAGGCTATTCGGGTGCAAATGCTGAGAAATCAGAGGAAGTTCACAATGAGCGACACAAGTCATTACGGCAAATTACTTTACAAGTAGAGGTAAAAGGAGTTAAATGTGTACCATGTCTAAAGTGTGACCTAAGGCAGAAAACACAGTATAAATACTTGTAGCTTTAGGGACCAAGGAAGGAACAAATCAACTATGATGCCCCACAGAGTATAAATTACGATAAAGGTAATGGAATAAGAATCAGAAAATGTAGGTTAAATATTAAAGAAATTTCTGATGGTAAGCTATTTTAGAATATGCAATATTCTCCCCAGGGAAGCACTGAAAATGCTGTTGTTTGGGATATTTAAAAATGCACTGATGAAACACTATAAAAGGTACAATAGGGAAAAATTATAGAGCATCAGGGAATGGATCTGTATAATGTACTATAATAGCTATTTATGTTTCCATCTTCTATGATTCTCCCCCCCAAAAATCAACACCTGGATTCACAGTTATTTGTATAAACCAGATTCTCAAACAGGGTGCTGCAATACACTTTAAAGAGTGCTGCAGGGTAGTTAGTGTAGTTTTTATTGTTATTGGTACTGTTAGGTGCATAAAAGCTTATACATGACTCACAAGATAAACCCAGAGATTTCAGATAGGTATCTATCCATAGTGTCAAAAATAGTTTGACCTGTTGTAGTCTTTTTGAGGTACTTCTTAATAGAAGAATTATTCTATTATTTTTCCATAATCAAAAATCAAGTGAAAAGTAGGAGCTGGTATTTTCTGACGATTGCCTTGAATCTAACAAGGAGGTGCCTTGAGTTTAAAAAGTTTTATGCATGCACTGTCCTGCAACCTGTCTGACAGACTATTGCCGGACAATTCAGAGTAATATACAAAAAGCCCTGAAATCTGCCAATATGGATACTCTGGTCCCTGTGAAAAACTCATTCTAACCCCCTAATAATCAGGAATGGCTTAAAACCCTGATACTTGAGGTTTTATATCCTGCTCAGTTTATCTTTTGACATAATTATTTCTTTGAATTCTCTGTATTTTTGTTATACGTATAAGTATACATATGTTATATGTATCGCTAAGTGGCAGTGAGTTCCATAGGTTAATTAATGTTGCTTGTTAAAAAAAAATTCTCTTTATTAGTTTGTAATGAGTAACACCCCCTCACATTCTTGTGCAACTAAGAGAGAGAAAAACAGAAATTCCTGATTAGAGCTACACATAAAAAGGTTATTTCATATCTTAGAAGAGTTTGATATTCTAATTTTGAATGAGCAGCTGAAGAATGAAGGAGTGATAAACCTGGGCAACCCAGGTTTCCAAGCTCTTGACTCATCGTGTGGATCCATTAGGTGGGCTGCCAAGTGACAGGGTGAGAGAGCTGGGAGAGGTTTCCATACATCTGGGGTAGAGACAGAAATTACACATAAACTGGTATAAGTGATCAGAAACTGGTTCAATCTGTAACACAACAGAAGTTCAGTGCACATAAGCTGCTTTCAAAATGACTTTATGATAAACCTGGATGGATGCAGTACAAGACTTAACTGATTTAGCTTAAATCAGTCGATTGAACTTCTGTCCCAGATCCCCTCCAGTTTCAAGTTAACTCACAGTCCCACGGCATCCAGGATGCTCTGTACATCTCCCACAAGCCCACCCGCCACCCCTTTGCAGGATGAGCGGGCTAGCCTTGGTCCAAGCTTTCTGTTCCAGCTGAGCAGAAAAGTGTGCTCTACTGCCCCACAGCTTCCGGCCTGGGCCACTGCAGGCATACGGCTGTTATTTTCAGAATCAAAAGTAAATGTCTGTTCACTTGCTTATTGGTTCACTCTACACAGTTTAAACTAATGGATGAAGATTGAATCAATTCAGCCTTGGTTTTTTTTGACTGTCTATATTTAGCCCAGGAAAACAGAAATATTTTACAATATACTGAAAGAAACTGATTCATGCCGGGTCACCATGCTGAGTCAAGGGTTAGAAGTGATCAGAAGCCAACTTGGATGCATTTTCAGGAGGAAAGAAATCCTGGCTTTGTCTCTGATTTCTATGATTTCCCATGCAATCTTGGACAAATCAATCAACCTCTTTGTGAATTAGTTTCCCCATCTATAAAACAGCAATTTCATGAGCCAAAGTATATTAGTGCTCGCAAAGTACTTTGAGGTACTTGGATGGAAGATTATTTGAAAGCAAAAAGTATTGTTCTCACGTTTAAAAAGAAACCAATACAATTATGTACTTAGAGAGAGCAGATGACAAACTATTATAAACTTAGTGTGGCTAATAAGATAAGGAAATGGTATGTTATTCCGTAAAAATAAGTGGTAAGTTAAAAATTAATTCTATTATTTGATTTAATCATTGTAAATTAATACTGTTTAAACAAATCTATGCACAGCTGTTCATGAAAAGTATAGTCAGATTTTTAAAAAAAACAACCCTCTACCACCTAAATTAAACCTGTATTTATAATTTTCAGTTAACTACAGGTTGGATGATATTTTTAAAAGATCACATATTTAAAGATATGTTGGTTCCTAAGACGTATAAATTTCAGTGGGAGTTCAATGCCTAGTGTCCTTTAAAAATATTTCCTGAAGCCACTTAGGAAACTAAATCCCATTGACATTTAATGGAGCTTAGACAGCCATGGAAATTTTATCTTTTATGTACATTTATACTTTTTTTTTTTTTTTTAAAGACACATATTTTACTCTTCAGGCCAGGGGTTAACAACATACATCCTGTGGGCCAGATCCAGCCTGTGCAACCATTGGATTCACTCTCCATGACTTCCAACCTAGTTACTGCTGCTACAACTGCTCCTCCCTGTCACACAGCTGCATGGTGAGGGCTTTGCACATCCCTACCACATGGCTGGGTAGCAAGTTTTTTATGGTACAGGCTAGAGTGAGTCAGTTTGGGTCAGAGGGGCTGGGCACTAGGACCCAGCTGCCAATGCCTCTCTTCCTCACCATGATTTGAAGACAGTGCTTGCAGCTGTAAATTCTCTGGGGGGGGGGGGGCAGGGGGCAATGAAACTGCTGCTGAAGCACCCCCCTCCCCACTGAATAGTGCCCAAGCCCATGTCTGCATGATCCATACTTTCTGTGGGTGAGATCCATCCTGCAGACTACAGTTTGCTAATCCCTGCTTTAGTTTTTTGCATCTTTCCCACCTTGGATGATGCAAA